AAGCAAAAACTGTGTYATAGAAAGCAATGGATGTCTTATTGCATTAAGTAAATGAAGACAGATTGATAGATGAACTAATCCACCTTTGCCAAACAAAGCAATTATAAAACTAAATAAAATTTTCTTTTGGTTGCTCTCCTGAACAACACCGAGTAGTTTTGCTTTTATAGGCTGCCTTTCTGTTAGGTAAAGTAAAAAAAGAGACAAGAATCTGGCTCCTATATTTACAATAATATTATTCATTGTAATATATTATTCAGTGTCCAGTAAAATAGAAATTAAAAAGTTAKTGTCTGTTAGCCCAACTCAATCTGTTTTGCTAAAAATTAGCCGCAAGCTAAGCAAGTATCTGCTGGTTTATTCAGCCAACATTCAAAATGTGCTGGAGTCCTAGGTGCTACTTTAAGAATTAATTTTGTCAGACATTATCAGGTATTTTAAGGTATTTCTACTCATCAGTTCAAAAAACTATAGGAGCAAAATTCCTGTAATTAACAGGTTATCAATTAACAAATAAATCCACAATTTAAGATATTACAACCAATCACATTTAAATTTTGTATCATTCATACTTAATTTGTGAACCACCTCCCCTCAGTACGCTCTGCTGCACTTACACTTTCATTCACAGTACAGTTTATTTCTTTCCCAGAGTCCAGTATTAGTATAAGAAACTATGAAGAACAGTTTACAATTAGTTATTTTCTGCAGAAAATCATTAAAGTAATTGAGCAAAATAAATTAAACTTTACCAGCCCTTCTGGCTGTGATCTTGGATCCATGTCGCAGTAATCGAACGCTCACTTCCTTGTCAGAGTGGTTAACCATACGCAAATGAATACTTCTCTTGGTTTGGATTTTTACAAGACATTTCACCATTTTGACTATTTCTCTTCTCAGTCTTGTAAAGGCTCAACCCATGCTGGCTTTGACTTTTAGTCTGTTTCAAGTGAGTTTTTAAAGACTAACAAGTCCCCCTCAATGAATCAAATGACAAGCATCTAACATAGCCAACAGAAATATCCCAGCAGGGAACAGAACGAGGGGCTATTTTTAAACATTTCCAACTGCCTCACTGTGTACAATACAAACTTCCACTGCATCCATCTCAGTTTGCAGTTGCTGGCATAACAACTGAATCACACACACAAGCGTAAAAATATCTAAGACATCACAACACAGTGCAATGAAACAAAAGACCAAAAGACCAGCTCTTACCACATCTTTTTCATAGAACAAGATGACTGTGGCTATTATTTTTCTAAAAGGCTTTGATTTGGTCACTGATTACCTGGAAATTACGTATGGAAAAGTGAAGATATACAAGCACAATTCCTATCATGTTCTCACCGACCTGTAGTCAGAACGAAAAAGAGTAAGGTGCAGATGATTTAATTTCAAGCCTAGCGTCAAGCCTGATTGCGTGTGAATAAATGAGAAAAGAAAAATCCTAAATTTGGRAGAAATGTCTTTCTCTGTATATAGGCTCCAGTTCCAGAAGATGGAATATGCTCCACCATAAAGATGGGTCAGTCACTTCAGGCTCTGTGCAGTAAGGATACACAAGACAAGAAAAAAGGCATGGCCATAGACACTTACTGCTGATAACTGGCTCCAGCTGGATGCATCTTGTGCATAAGACTCTCTTACTAGGCCCACTGAAACCACAGCTGCAACACGGCAGTTCCTCGTCTCTCAGAACAGTTACCTTTCATGTTGGAGATCTGCTGAAAATCATTCAATGACTCTAGCCTGAAAACTATTGCCAATATCCAGCATATTTCTAAAGCATATCTCTATAGCTCTTCAGGGCTTTCAGTAGAAATTGGATAATTTCATCTGTCAGCAAAATAAGAATCTCTAGATATTTCTTGATCTTTGTCTGAAAACAATGCCTTTAAACCCTTGAGGTGGAATAGAAGTCTATTTATATATGAAATATGATCTCCTCAGTCTTGCAGCTCCCCTAGGTTAAGTCTAGTAAGCTGTGGTTACACAGTTTGGATGCTACATAGCAGTACTGACACCTGGAAGTCACTGTCACCAAGGTAGCATTGGCTTGCAAAGAACCAAATTACTATCGAAAATCTGATCAGAAACTGCTTCTTTCTTAAAAGATAATCTTTGGGGCTTTTATTGCATTTTCAAATTATACAGTACCTACTGTCTAGCTTCATAAGAGMAGTCTGTTACACTGGTGGTCAATCTCTAAATGTAAGAAGGTACATTTAAGAACATCAGTTCAATTCTGGGTGCTCATTCTACTATAATAATAGTATCATAGACATTCCATAGCTTCTTTTCCCACACACTGTACTCTTTTCTTACCATAAGGTTTAGTCAACATAGTTTTTTTTTTTCTGTCAGCAAAACCTGGATAATCTGGACTTATGCAAAACCTTTCATTTCAGCATGATAATTGTGGTAGATTTGTAAAGACAGAATTTAACATGTGAAAATGGCTGGGCTTTAAATACTTTATTACATTTGTTRTGTTGTGTTTATTTTCCATCTGAAAGAGTTCTCCTATGGAGAATAAGGCAGGTTGAAATTATTCAGAATCCCCTAGTGAATGTTTCTTATGCTTGTGCCACCTCAATTGCTTTGTTTCCTAGCAACATTCAAATAAATGACACRTAATCTTCCCTCTCATCTGGCAGTTGCTGTTAAGCTCAGTTTCATAGCTTGCATACGTGGCCAATTCACAACTTCTCTCTCCAACAATTTCAGGAAACACAAAGAGATATTGCAAATATTGATTAAAAAGGATAATACTACAAGTCTTTAGGCCACTGCAGTTTTGTYAGTGTACTTCGCTTGCCACATATAAGGTTGATTTAAATATAGGAACAAGTTTTGCTACATTAAAAGAGAAAACACTTCCCTGACTGCGCAATGAGCCTATGGCTGTGGGTGCTAGTCCTAACTGTGCTCCTGAGAACCCAAACCTGTTTGCACAGCACAGTGTCCTGTGCAGCAGCTGGAACATGTATATACACATGGCAGTGCCCAACATAAACTTTGGTGTAGGTCCCTGAAGCGGCATTAGTGACCAGCATAGCAGGAGGCAGCTGAACTGCCCTAGAGCCAGCTTAGGCAGGGCTGCACCATGATCAGTCTGCCCCAAGACAGGCCCCAATGCCTAGAGAGGCTAATTCACATTTGTAATACACTGAAAAACACGTGTTAACACGGCTAAGCCAAACATAGACCTTGCTGCCTTCTCTCTTCCCTACAAACTCATACTCACAGCCTTGCCTTGCCAGAAGACCTTGCCTGACCCTCTGCGATGAGCCAGTCCAAAATGCTGAGCCAGCACAAAGTGGGATATTTCACAGGTAAGAGTTATTTTATTGTTACATTAACTGCTTATGTCAGCTCACTTTGGTGTGATTAGTGCTTAGGCAAGGCAGAAGACAGGAATTCACAACAGAAGAAYGTATAGGAGTATTTATGGGGAGATTTCAGTGTCACTAAACTCTTACATCCATTTGTGGCACACTTTGATATGAACTCTAATATATGAACTATACTGATAAAGTATGAACTAAGTACTGTTACTTAGGAGCATCAAGTATTAACTATGTGTAAAACATCCTATAGGAAACAATCCACCTGCAAATATTTGTATTTATCTCAAAGTTAACAGAAATCTGTGTGACTAAAATGAAATATGTTTTTTGAACTTACCTAATGTATATTTGAAATATAGCAGCAATCTCTGGTGAGCAAATAGCAATGATAACTCAGCAGTTTTCAAAAATGGATTTTATAAGTGAGTTATAAGTGAGGCACAAGAGCCTTAACACTCAGCAAGCTGTTGTTATTCTACCATGGTGATATTTGCCTACTAGTAACAAACTGCTTTCATAGCCAAGGTAAATAAGCAATTGTTGCAGTTAACTAAATATCATTCATCTATTACTGCTATTGATTATGATCTGAATGCATTTTCTTAGTGAAAATGTACTGTTCTTGGTAGAGCACATGTTGAAACTCCAAAGAATGAATAAAGCAATGTTTCTCATAGGTTCAATAATGTTTCACATACTATTAAATAAAATTAGCATAGTCTTCCATGAAAATGTAAAAAGTATCTGTAAAAATGTACTTGTAACTTGGCTGTTTTTTGTTTCCCATTCACTGGCATTGCAAAATATTTGATCCAAATAAAATATCAAAGAGGCAGTAGAGCTCATATTTGCTAACCAGTGAAACTCTGTTAGCTCAGCTGAGAATTGGYTGACATTTTTTAGTTGGTTGATTTTAGAAGACTGCATCCATACTCATTAAAATTGACCAACATGTTCATACCATTATTTATAATGAGTTTGTCTGAGAAGGGTAGGCACTGAACATGATTTTTAAAAAGTGAAGGAATAACCAATCACATGGAAAGCTTTATTTTACAAAACACATTTAAACCCATCTTCAAATGACGTCTCCTTGTGTCGATGTACTTAAAATGAGAACTTTTCCTAACATTAAAGCAAGTCAGAAATAAATGTAAAACGAATCCAAGTAAAGCAATGTACCTGGCAGTAAATTATCAATTTTCAGCTGACTTTTCTTGTGCGGGATGGTTGGAATAAATGATCCCCAAAGCCCTTTCCCAATCTGAAACATCCTGTGATTCAGCCCAGAGAACTATACAAGTAAACATGTAACTGCAGTACGTTCAATAAAATGGTTCTGTATGTTGAGACTGTTTCTGTTGAGAGTCTTTCACATGACAATCTTTAAAAAGATTTTAGACACAGTAAGCTAAACACAATTAAATTTGCTCCCAGACAATTTTGAAGGAAGCTGGTGCACAGTTCTTAGAGTGAGAGATCATTTCTGTCTCTTAAGCAAACACTTAATGGTGTGACTCCTAAGAGGAATTGTTACGTATTTTCTATATAACTGAGTTAATAACACGCCTGCAAGCTTTTTCATATGTAATATTTTCCTAATGAATATTTTTAGAGTGTGGGGCAGGCATCAGGTAAGTGACTCACCTTCACCTAAAGGCACCTCTTCCCCCTCACATGGGGAAGGAAGGAGGGGCTGCAGAGGTTCCATGTTAATTATAAGTTGCTTGTTCAAGGAGGGAGAGCTGCGACTCTGTGTAATACTGGTCCTAAAACAACAGGGAAAACAGGGTTAATTTGCTTATAAGGAAACAACTACAATCATATCTGTCTCATCTCAGAATTGCTTTGCATAAATTATGTTAGGCTTTGGACTATCAACACTGTGTACAGTGAATGCCACTTTCAGCTGTGTTATGCTGCACAGTCAGCAGATGTAAACTTTACAACATCTGAAATGCAAGAGATGACTTTGTGCAGGTGGATTTCTGCTTATACAGCTACAGCCTGTACAGAATTACAGTGTGTCGCTCGTCTCCACACTGCACAGCAGAAAGGATTATTTGGTTTCAAGSAAGGGGAAAAGAAGAGAGGATACAAACTGATTTGCTGAAATTGCTCCATTGCCTCTGGGAGTGGGTCAAACATTTGCTATGGTTTGAGCAAGGCAGATTAAAGAAAAAGCTGGAACAACTCTACTCCTTCAGTGAAAAGATAAGCACATCTCATCCTCATGTACTGCAGACACATGCCTTCAGGCTCTCAAGCTGGTTTTACTCCATTTCTTACTGGGTTCTGAGAGGCTTTCCTGTTAGCAGGTGTTGAAATTCCTCAGAAAACCTGAAGGGATGTGCTGATTTGCTTCAGTCATGCAGCTGGCTAGCTTATTAAAATCATATTACCGAGAAAACAGAAATGGCTCTTTCAAGTAAGTTGTCTAGGACTTACATGACACAGGCCTGAAGCAAGAATCCTGCACCAGAGCTGAACCATTACATTATAGAATATTTTTTTTGACAATAGCAAAGATGAAAGGAAAGAGGCTTCTATTTGACTTCAGACAGTACCTAGCTTTGCATTCAAGACACACTAGGAACACTGCCCATGCCCTGATCCTCAACTTCTTTCAGATAACGTTCTTCATAAAATTGCAAATGGAAAAAAAAAAAARTAAAAAAGATAATCCAGCAACAGTGTTTTCACAGATCTGATTTTGAGTTTGCACAGAGATTCAACTTAAATTCCACATAAGTAAATAAGCTAATTAAAGCACCTATTGTAAATGAAAAGAAAGGACTGTGGGTTTGGATAAACTGAGAATCCAGATGTGCTGCTTTAGATCACATTACATGTAATTAAATATTCTGTAGGGATAAACAAGCTTTCCTGCTCAATTGCCATGACTTCCTGTTCGTTAACATATGCCCAAAGCTACTTACATCCTCATTTGCCTTATGTGAGCAGATTCCATTAACTATTTAGTTTAAATTTTCACTATCCAAATAAGTTTTTCATTGATTTGTGACTGCAACTCTAAGTACACCGACCCAATAGTACCTCCACAGGCCTGTTGTTAGGCATTTCCTGGATATTTGTGTTGTATAGAGAGCTAGGAAGAGAGATGTGCCAGTTAGCATGCATGTGACATATCCTGAGGGCACAGAATATTTGTCATAAAAACTTGCCATTGCATTAATGCTGAGCACACATGTTTGTGAGCACAAGCTCCAGCAAGTTTTCACTGCACAGTGCAGTTAAGTGCAACATCCAAAATCTGTGACCTTTCCAAAGTGCTGTTCCTCTTAGCACTGTGAACTGACACTTTGGGGCTTATGGAAAGGCTTTACTTTAAGTTTTGTCTTCAACTTCAATCACGTAACTTTCTCTAAATATTCTGCACCTGAAAACTACCATTTCCTGTCTATAAATTTCTTGTGCGGGGTCATGTGCTTCATAAGACTGCATTTTTTGGAGCTGAAAAGCTATGCCTTCTGCCTACTTGTGCTGTTAGCTGGACAGATGAGCTACTTCTGCTCCCATTTCAAAATAAAYGTAACACTCGGAAGCACTAGACTTTTTATTAACCTGTCTTGCTAAGGAACTTATTTGGAATTATCAGATCATTATAAATACAAGCATTTTAGAATGCTAATTACAAGAAATACACACTATCTATAGATGCTAAGTACATGACACTGATCCATAAAGGCAATACATTTTCCTTTGATCTGTTCCTTCATAACAGTTTTAAAAACATTTTTTTCTAATATAAGAAGAAAATTTAAAATACAAGCTAAAATATTTTTAAAACTTATCTTAATCTCATAGAAATAAAGAAACTTTGTGGATAGTGACATGAAACACAGTATTTTTGTATCCAGGTAATTTCTTTTGATATTGACTTGTATGCCAAATACCTACTGTCTCCATGATGAACCCAAATTCTGCCTTCCGTGTTCCTTGTTAATACTTTCCACACCATCACTTACAAAGTTTTAAATGAAATCTATAAATGCATGGGCAAAGTCACTCCTGTGCGCATTGACTATTACATGCTCAACAGCATATAATATAACAGCACAAGTAATAAGCACCAGAAAAACATTAGTTTGCTTGCAAAACTAAGGTGCTTATTGCTAAGAAGGCAATCTTTTTTCCTTCTTAGATACTAAGTGAACTTCCTGCTTTTTGATCTCACTGTATTATGGAAAAWTCATCATATAAACGTTTAAGCATACCAATGTAAGTACACAAAACAGAGCCTTTCAAAACAGGACAAGAACAAGGAATAAAATGGAAATGCATGTTTGGATTATTTAACAACTTTCTATGTCATAACACAGAAAATAAGAGAGGTAGTAGGAGTAAGAGGTAGTACACTATTGTCTGATTTTTGTGACACTGGCAGCTTTCTGAAGATTCATTTATCTTATACCTTTTCCATACTTCAGCGTGGTATCTTGGATCTACAGTCGTTGTATCTCACAGTAAGGAAAAAAGAATTTCTGTGCAGAGCTAAATAACTCTCCCCAATGCTTAATCTTCAATATACAGTGTTAAAAGATACCTGTGAACTTCAGGAGGTTCCCTCTGGATCTTAGAGCTTGCCTCCACAACCTCTTTGGCTACTTTTCCACTGTATTAAAACATGAATTAAAAATGCAAGTCAATACGAAGAAATGTTAATTACATACATGAACAATTAAATTACTTTCAAGAGAAAAAAATCTTTTTTTCTGATATCAAAACAGCTACCTATAGTAGGTAGCATAGGTCAACAGTACGTATGTAAACATACAGTGCATATGTAACTTTCCAGATTAAAAATTCTATTGATCATTTATCTGCAAAATCACTTTAAAAAAGCCACATCTTGTGGGAGAACATTAGAAGTTACTACAACTGTCCCACTAATGAAYCTCTATTCCAGAGCTGTCCAAATAAAAGGGTAACCCAACCTCTACAGTAACGACARAAAATCATCATATAGCAATTACACCAGAAGTGGAATTCTTTTCTGGGAGAATGATAATTTGACAGACAGTTAAAACAAGCCACCAATTTATTTTATAAAAGTTTTTATATAAACATTAAAAATACTTTCCAGTCCTGACTTCCTGACTTGAATTAGGTTTAAACTAGATCCACAAGAAGAAATCCTTGCTTTGCCATGAATAAATCCTGAAGCTTTCTCTTACTTTCTAAAATGTTTAACAAAAAAAAGAAACAGCAAACTCCTACCTATATCGAAATCTACTGCCCTTGAAAAATATTTTGCTGCTGGACATGGTCTTGATCTGACTGGATTTTGCATACCTGGAAGAACAATACAGGGTGCCACATTTGCCACATAGAAGGAACTTGATATGCAAAAATGAAAAAGATAAACTGCAAACTTGACATATTTATATTACAAGGTAATATTCAATAATTGCTCTTTCCAAATTTTACAGGTCTATATACAAATCTCAATATMAAGATGGCACAAGACAACATAGACAGTATAACAGAAAGAAAAGAAAATAAATGCAGAAAATAAATGCACATAAATGTTTCATACCTAGGGACTTTAAYTCACATGATGAAGAAGAGATTGCAGCAGCCCAACAACCCTTAGAAAACCTTCTTCTTAATATCAAACTTTTCAGGAATGTGTGGCTGTTTATACATACATTCCCACAAGTAAAACAAGTATGGAACAAAGACAAAGAAATACTTTTCTCCAAGAACAGCTGCATTTCTCATCCACCTACATAGTCAATTTGTAAGCAAACTACATCATATTCACATCATCATATTCTCTACATCTACATATGATGTAGCAGACTACATCATATTCTATTCCTCTACCTGTCACAATATATGCAGGAAGCTTTTGTCAATGCTATGAGAGTTTGATCTACAAAYATCACGTAGACCAGCAGATAGGCCATTTCCTTGATGATGTGCAGTTTTGAAACGGCAAACTGGTTTTACATCAGTTTTCTCACTCTTGAATCCTAATAGACAATCTTATAAAATTTATAGCTATTTGAAAATAATCACTGCAGTCAACACTGAGCCTCGATTGAGCCATGAATAGAACTCCACTTTCCAAGACATGTTGGAAGATCACAATCTTAGCTTGAATATGAAGTCTTAAATTCTCCTAGGAGAGGAAAAGCTCTAATATAATTAAGGTAAAATGTCATTATCAGGAATTACATGCAAAATCTGGTTATGCTTTTTCTCATTAGAGTATCTCCTTGGTAACATACAGTACATAAGTAGACAATTGGGCCATAATATTTATAATGCTCTTAAGCAATGAGGATCCACAAAATATAGATCGGWTTCTCTGACTGTACAGAGATCTCTGATGCTTTTAAACTACTTCCTATCTTATATTCACAGATATCTTTGTTTGCCCTGCTTCATGTTGGTTTTCATTTYGTTTGCACATTTGTTTTCATACTCTGCATATTAACTATCATTGTTTCCCTAACAAACAGCCAACCTCCTGGCCACAGAACAGCCCTGCCACTCCTCAYTTGACTAACCCTTTCCTCTTCTAAGACTCACTGAAATGTACTCAGGCAAGATAATTATAAGCAAACATGTTGAAGAAATAACCCCACAGCACTGCCCTTAAGACAACAGGAATACAGAAGCAAGAAAAACATACTTCTGTGATTGAAATCCAAACACTAAATATTACAACCATTCAACTACTAAAGCAAAGGGATTATATTCCTATGAGACCTTCTCATGAATCAGTATTCAAAGAAAAGATGTCTCTCCCTCATGTATACTTAAGGGGGTAAGAAGAACTGTTCTTCACAGAATTCACAGAATTCACAGAATATTTAAGGTTGGAAGGGACCTCTACAGATCATCTAGTCCAACCTTCCTGCTCAAGCAGGCACACCTAGAGCACGGGGCACAGGGTGGCATCCAGGTGGGTTTTGAAGACCTCCAGAGTAGGAGACTCCACAACCTCCCTGGGCAGCCTGTTCCACTGCTCTGTCACCCTAACAGTAAAGAAGTTGCTCCTCACCTGGAGACAGAACTTCTTGTGTTTCATTCCCTACATTTAGTTCTAGTAACTRAAAACTGTTCAACCCAACAACATGCAGTATTTTCCTACTTTCAGGTACTTTCAATAGACAATATTTCCTAGTGATATTTTTATAACCAAATCTTAAGAGTAGATTTTCACATAAAGAAGAATTGACAGCTGTCTAGTAGCAGCTATTTCCTGTTTTTTTTATTCTATATTTTAATTGAGTAAATTGCATTCAATATATCATTGTATCAATGTTAAAATAATAAATCTCCTCCAAAATAAAACAAGTCATTAGCATCCACAATAGGAAACACATTCTTCCTATCCAGTTAAAAGCTACTTTTATACCAGCTACTGGTGTTGCTATGCTGCAGCAGGGAAACAATAATTTTCCAAAATATGCAATATGCAGCTGATAAGAAAGACTAAGCAGCAAGAATAAAAGCTATGGTCCAAAAGGGAAGTGTTAATAAACAGAGAGAAAGAGCTAACAAAGTCACTTGAGGAAAAAGAAATAGAAAAAATAAWAAAAAAAAAGCCTAAGGGCTCTTAATGAGGAATTATTTTCAGATTCTACTTTCAGAATCTTTCAGAATTTTTCGACAATAGGTCGRAAGATTCGACAATAGGTCGAAGATGCTTTTTTTTTTTGTCATGGACTACATATTCTTAAAGTCATATATTTTSTAAACTAGATAGCTTTCAGCTTTCAAAATTGACCTAAGAATATTTCTTTAGTTTTTTATTTCTTAATCTCATTGTATAGAATCTTGAATTCAACTCTCCTTGGATTTTACTGAGAGGTAAAGTTTACTAATTTACTTTACTTAATTGAGGCAAGTTTACTTACTTATAGAAAGCTTGGTTCTCCACTCCACATTTCCAAAGATGTTTGCAGGCTGCTGGTGTAGAGGTATGGAAAGACAGCACGGCCTTTTTCTAAGGGCAAGGAAAAGAAGGGATATAAATTAATGCAAACACTGTTTTTGGAAAGACTGAATTAGCAGAAACTGACAGCAGCAGCATGGCCTGGATACCCTGAAGACCAAGTTTCTCTGTAGGGCCTTAATCCTTGGTTCACCCGCAGAAGTACAAACACATATGTACTTGATACTCCAACTGCCCATGCAGTGGCCCCAGAAATGAGAAGGGGTATTTTGAGGACCTACACAAGAGCATATAAAGTGGCTTCTGGGATAAATCTACCAGCTGCTTGCAGGCCAAAACAACAGAAATAAACTCTCTATGTTCACCACTTCCTGTGGCACAGCTGCTCTGCTGCTTACCATTCACATTCCCCTATTCACCACCTCCTGCTGTCAAATCCTCCCTGACACTACACTGGCATCTTGGGCCTTATTTTCTTCTTCTGTTTTCTATTCATCATACAGTTATGTCCTAAGCTATATCACCCTGCCAGAGGTGAAGAACTCATTACAGCATCAAAATCATATGTCAAAATCAACTTATAGATAAAAATCTCTAGATTTCAATAACAGGATACCCAACTATGTAGATCATACTACAGTTCAGTTAGCTAACCAAAATTTGAGGAGGTAATCCTAATCAGCTAACTCAAAAGATCTCATTTTGATCCAGGAAGCAAAGTCCACCCAAATTTCCAGTCATATAGAGATAYTGCTCATACTTTAGAGTAGGTGCAGCTTTCATGCTTTAAAAAATCCGGACACTAAAAACTGACTAGTAAAATAATCAAATACATCAACAGCGAATGCAGTCTGGGATGAAGGTTAAAGGACAAACATCTAACCTCTCTGAAAATTAGGCATTCTCCTGAAATCAGTAATATTCACATTCACTTGTATTCTACATTTTACCTATAATATGAAATACAATTATTTCTTGTTTCAAAGCTTAAGAACAAAGCTAAAGATGATAGTATTATATTTTAGTTGGTTCTAAATCAAATATGCAGTTTCCACCATAATAGCATTAAACCCAACCTCTTTCTGAGCTCCAAACACATAAAAAGTCTTCCCTTCAAATTTCAATTTATAGACATCACACCTGAAAAGAGAAAAATTAGTTAAATATTAGAACAATAGACAGAGCTATAGCTAAGAGAAGTGATTTGTATGCAAATTGTGATGATTCTCATACCTAAGTAAGTTATCAAACAACAAAGAGTTCCATCAAAGGTCTTGTTACCTTGACCATAAAAGCACGTACTATTCTAAATTCTTTYAGAGTACATAAGCCAAAGTGTTTATTTTATATCTCTATGCACCTTTGAAGAATTAAAATTGGCTGCTAGAACAGGACTAAAAAGAAAAAAAAAAAAGTCTGAAGCTTATGCTTAGATTTTGTAATACAGTCTAGAATTCCTTTTACTTCTTAAAACCTTAGGATCTTTTAGAACTGAGTGAAGACTCTTAGCATAGAGATGATGCATAAAAGGGCATGTGCCTTTCTAGATTCTGTCACTTCCTGCCACCAACTTCTTATCCATAAGCCTTTTGTTTACGGTTCTATGCCCCACATTATCTYGGTGAAAGAGTACTTACAGATTACATTATGTGAAAAAATTGAAATATGACAGCACTAATTACTGGGTCATCCGTCACTACGTTATACATCTTTTATTTAACAAAGCTTCAAAGTACAACCAAAGAATGAAATCTTGCTACATAATATTAAGGCAATATGTTGCCTCTGTTTAAGCAGTAAAAGAAGTTTTGTGATTATCACAGTTGAAATGGAGACTCTCATCAAGATTTTAGACAGCAGATGGTTAAAATGGAGAAGATCCTAGAGGTAAGGACGAATGTTCTACTCAGGATTTCTATCAAATTTTGTTATTCAAATCCATACTGATTTGCATACAGGTTACAGAGATTCACTATACAATCTTACACAGAGATTAGTTATTTTCTGAATCCAAAATTATCTCAGAAAACATAAGAACATATTTTGAAACAATAATAGGACAAGTTTTCAAAGCAAATCACGAACCCAATAACACTTTGTTTGGTCTAACTGAAGTAATAAAATAGACTTATGTAATGTGCTGACTTTAAACTGGTAATGATTTATGCTGCACTCCATCAAACAGAACCATGTTTTTTAACCTAAACTAAAACACACAGGTACATTCAGCTTCACTTTTTTTTTTTTTTTTTGTAACATGTGAAGAAAATATTTTTCAGTGTATCCTTCATAATTAACATGTTTTTAATGCTTATTAAAGTCTATCTGTTCTCAAAATATGTTGAGATCCTGAGGGAAAGGATCAATAAAATCTGAAGACAATAAAATCTCAAAGATGAATTAGGGTTTTTACTGATTGATGCATATTTCAGATAATATCAGTAAGAGCTATTCTAAGTAGCAGTTCTTAAGAAAACAAGGTCCCAGATATTAAATGAAGAGTATATCATGTTCAGATAAATCTTATTCGATTGACCTTCCAATAGCCTTTGTAGCACTGAACAGCTTAATGATATTCATCACTAGTTCATTTTCTTGTAAACATGCCAATGTGCACAAATGAATACTCAGAGATCTCCAAAAGAACAAGGTRTCCTTGAATGAAAACATGAAAAACAAGACACCGTAAACCTCAACTCCCTAAGTATGTCAAAGCACACTTGGCAAGTTATATTCACTGTTCCCTCCAGCAGAGGATGGTTACACTACGGTTATGCCAAAAGCATAAATCACCTTAAGTATTGTTACTAAGACTACCTGAGCTTAACCCTAGGGAAACCGTGAGACAAATCCAGGATAACTAATCCACTATATTTGACAGACACATCTCCTTCACTCTCCACAGCAAGATGAATAGCATAGGGAGGATTATGCTGAGATTTCAGAGTAGTCAGGTCTTGGACAGACTTCTATGTTTGGGCTAGGAAAAACCTACGTTTATACAAAAAATATCTCTTAATGTATATCCTGCCCACCTCCTCTCCTACAGAAGGCTGCGAGCAAATCAATAACCAATAATTAACTAATCTTGTCATCTTCTTAGCTGCAGGGCTAAAGGGTTATGCCCTGATTTTGATCATGCTTGTGCTCACGCTGTACCCCACGGCTCAGAGCACAGACACTCTTTTCACAACATTTGCAGGAACTCAATTTTATACCTTCCTTTAGAATGACAGATGTTGACCAACCAAGTCAGGAGAGAAATAAAAATATCAGAGAAACAGAAGATATCTTAGGAAAAAAAAAAAGGGAGAATCTAGAAAGAAAAATCAAAGGCATCCTCTGCTTACCAAGATCTCATTTCCTCTTCTAATTGGAGAAAATTAATTGAATGAGGAAATGATAACTTTTACCAGAGCCAAATAAAGATAAAGGTGCATACTCATAAACGCTTCCAGACTTCTCTGCCCATCCGCCTTTCTGATGATGATTTACAGACAGTAAAGAGGGACGCTCCGCCAAAGTAGAGCTCTTATTTAATTTTAGAGTTGTGCATTGAATGGACTAGCTCAATTTCTGGAATAATTTTCTCTAGAAGAAGAATAAGGCTAAATTATTATTATACTTCTTATTTAAGTTGCTTTAAAATGCAACTTAAAAAACTTTAAAAATCTGATGGGACAGAAAAAGGAATATTCACTTATTTCACTTTAAATAAACACAGGTAAAGATACTAGGAAGAAAGGAAAAAAATCCCTAAACATATTATTCTACTCTTTATGTGCTTACCATTTTAATAAATGAATTCTTTTATTTCCCTGGAAAACTACAAATCCCGCAGCTGTGAATCCTAAAAATGTGGTCATCCCCGCTGAGTCCTTTGAAGAGAAGAAAAGAAACATGTAATTTTCTGCTTTTCTATTGAGGTACTTAATTACCCATAGCGCAAATTCTTATTTTATTACAGACTACCTGCACTTTATTTTCATTTTCATTCTACAACTAAATTCTGCTTGAAAATAATACATTTCTGAAGAGCAAAGACTGCTCTTGGCTCCTAGACCTCATTCATTTTTAGCCACTTGGAGTAACAACATCCTGTGCTTTGTTTCTATCTACTTGCAGGAGATGTCACCTAGAGAGTCCACAGGGATATTTATTATTTTGGTGAAAACATACTTTTCAGTATTTTCCCACACTTAACAGTGCTGGCTAAATATAATCCAGGGATTCGTGTCTACTTCAGTAGTGTTTAGGATTTCACACCTTGTTCCTTTGTGACATTTCCAACAATTATGTAGGAAGTGCAACTAAAGGACAGCATTTACTACAACAACCAAGTATTTAATTCTGGGTAGAAGTAAAAACATCCAGTGATATTTGCCTGAAATTAGAACACACCTTTTTTTCCTTTCAATTCCACAATAAAAGTTTTGGTTCAAGTTGTTTTTTGTTTTTTTTTTTAATAAATTCAAGTGAATTTTACACTAGCTGGCTTTCCTGTCCATCCCAGGCTCCAGGTTGTCACCACATTAAAGTTAATCTGCTTTATTGTTCGATGTTTTCTGTCAAGAATATATGGACATTTATGCCACTCAGGTAGCAGCCACAGAGTTGCACAGGAAGATATAAGGAGCTAGGAAAAYATCTTGCATTGCGGTCTCCTTCCAAAAATCTGGACAATTTTTCTCAGTCTGTCAGCATGGGCCATAAACTCCAGCATGCCTCCTCTTTATGAGCGTCCTTGCATGGGCAAAGAGGACATGATGCCAGACCAATCTGGATTTTGTCAAGTGCCATCATATGTCTCCTACATGCACTGAGGTAATCCATGTTATGCAGATTATGGAGGTAAAATTTACTAAGTCACTGACTTCAGCGAGCTCTGAACTAAGCCAGATATCCTATAATAGGAGTACCATTTCTACTAACGTGTATGTGAAATTAGCCTCCAGATTAGAGCAGCTAAGCAGACAACATTATGTACTTCTGTTGCTCCAGCAAAGAGGACATATAAGCCAGAAACATCAGTTAAAAAGTAAAGCAGACAACATTAAATTACTGCAACTAAAGGCATTAAAAATGCAAGTGTATGGAAGAACCAGAAATGTTGACTAAAATTTTCTTCTTACAGAGATTTATAAAATAGTTAAGTGATGAAATACCTAAATGCCCAGCTTTGTACATTTAGCTTGCTAAGATTTGCATATTTTGCTAGTCTTTGAAATAAAAGTCTAGCAAGGCCTTACAATGCCTTTGTAGTTTTCAGACAACAGTAATTCACTGGACCTTGAAAATCTTGTCAAATGCAAAGCACTTCATCCCTAGAGTATTTACTAAAACTTTTGCAGTAAATGAATAAATGACTAGTTATAATCAAAACTTTTGCATGAGCACCCTTTTACATTCTCCTATGATGTTCTATATTCTCTACAGTTACTTTTCTCTAAATTGATATACAAATTTGAACCAGTCAATGTTCTGCTCAAATGAAGTGAAAGCTGTAGTTATAGGCAGGCTTTTAAAAAATATTCTCTATTTGTTCTTTATTTTTTTTAGATGTCCTTTCCCTTCCCTCCCCACAAAGCACATCAATATCAATTAACTTAATGGATTTTTATTACACATTACATAAAAAAAAAAAAAAAGCTACCTTGCAAGGATGCGGATCAACACCATAAGTTTCCAAAGAATGTGCTTTCAGGAGCAAGTTAAATTCAGCAATAGCTGGGCTCTGACCTCTAAAATTACAAAAGGAACAACAGTTTCACAAAAAGGAAAAAATAGGAGAAAAAGGCTTTTGAATTGTACAATTTAGGCTCCTACGAAGAAGGGGAAAATGTACTGATAAACGAACAATTCCAAGGCTGCTCTATTTATAGCATTAAGATAGGAAACTTTTCACATAATTTCGACTCCCAGATTGTCCAATGCCTGATCTTTTCAGGTAAGCTCTGATGTTTTTGCTTGCTTCTAGGATAACACATACTATGAAATTAGCCAGCTATCCAATATCCTGCAAGTATTTGTTATCTTTTGATGTACGTGCAAGTTAGCCTGAACACAAAATAAACCTCTGCATCCTTTTCCCACAAACCCCTGCTCCAAAACTCATTTAAAAGGATTGTCTAGATTAACAAACATTCCTTCCAGCTCGGGATATAAACAAGGCAATCATATTACACTGTCTACTGAGAAGCGTGCCTAATTATAGCATTGCCTGTTACCATCATGTTATCTTAGAATCTGTCAGCATTTCCATTATATGCCCCTATTTTTAGGGTGTCTATAATCAACCATGAACATACACTAAAGCCTGAAACATGGCACTCAAGCCTTGAGTTCTGGAGGAAACTTTTATTTCTCTTTATTTTCTTTTATTATTTCCAGTCTTCTTTTTTTTTTTTTTTTTTAATAAAAAGCACTCACAGAAACTTCTGACAGGAATTTCTGACAGAAATACCACTTTGAGACAACGAGTGGTACTTAGGACGCTTAGAAAGCCGGGTCTCATAAAGGCTTGTCATAAAAGTCACCCAGAAAAAGAGGCGTAGACAAATAAAACAGAGAACACAGAAACAGTCTTACTAAGTCAAACCGCTGTGTATCGCAGTCCAGTTTCACTCAGAAACAGGAGTTCTGTGTATCCATGTAGAATAAYTTCCCTGCAGTAGTGTTTCTGTTAATCTTTAATAATTAGAAACCAGCAAAGACAGACACAAGAGATTCAGTATCCTCCCCAAAGCTCTGTTTTAACTATGAGGATTATGTCTAGAATACTTGCAGATGTAAAATTCTATTTTGAAACCTATCGAACTGATGCCTCATGGCAATATGAGCAGCAATAACCTTTTCCATCAAAAGGTTTTAATTTATGCCTATTTCTACTCAATTGCCTCCTGCGATACTGTTTTGGCTTTCTTCCTCTGGCTTAAATCCTGCTTGTTACTAAGCTATTTGCATTTTTCACATTGTTTTTATTTAGCTTTCAAATGAGACAAACAAGATTAGATAAGTGCCCTTCTTTCTCTCTCCCCTTTTGGTCTCCGTCTTTCACTATCTCCCAGTGAAGAAGAAAAGGTAACAAGTAGAAAGTTAAAAAACGTAAACACGAATTTATATTGCTAAATATTGAAGGAAAAGACAGCATGAAAATCACAAAACAAACCAAGTAGTTTATTTTTTTCCCAGTCAAGGCTTTTGAAGGCTGCACCAATGTGTTTTTCTTTCCCCATTAATGCAAATAAATCACAAAAGTTGTAGTAGATGCAGATTGTAAACAAGCCTTAGGAAAGCTACAAGTTTGTTCACATAGCTACCCACTGCAAAGTACTTAACCAATTAACCTAAATTACTCAGACTGCTTATATTGCATAAAAAAATGAAGCAAAAATAAGATTTGATTGCTTAGAGAGAATTGTCCCCATACAGAAAAATAACATTACAAAATGCATTGAATTCCCAACTCTTTCTGCTAGTGCAAAGAAAAACAAAAAGACCTTAAAAGTGAGAGATCGTTTGGAACAGTGTAATTTCATCATTTTGTTTGGAATTTCAAAAAGGGAAAGAGACTATTAAATAGCAATTATTATTAAAGTACAGAAACACATTAAAAAATGACCAGCCTGCTCTCTTCAAACAGGACCTCTGCCACAATATGGTCTTTGTTCATATCAGACTGAATATGAATATGAAGCAGAATACATGGATAGGTTTGATATTACTGGCTCACAGGAAAATTGAAAGGGTTCATGTTTAAGGCCTATAGAAAAATCTTTTTAGAATGAAAAGACATCATCTAGTCCAGCCCAGGGGGGCGGGTACAGGGGCATACACAGGGTCACCTAGAGCACATGGCACAGGATTGTGTCCAAGTGGGTTTTGAAGATCTCCAGAGAAGGAGACTCCACAACCTCTCTGGGCAGCCTCTTCCAGGGCTCTGTCATCCTCACAGTCAAGAAATTTTCCTTAAGTTCCTGCGGAACTTTTGGTGCTTCAGTGTGTGGCCATTTCCTCTAGTCCTATGTGAATTTGGTCCACTGATTTCAGTCTTKATTCTACCGCTAGTTTTTGTTTTGTTTTCTGAACTTCAGCCAAAAGAAAAGAATACAGACCTTATGAGGAGCAGCTGAAGGAAGTGGGATTATTTAGTCTGGAGGAGGCTCAGGGGAGACTTTATTGCTCTCTACTACTACTTGAAAGGAGGCTGTAGTGAGGCCTCAGTCAATCTCTTCTCCAGAATAACTACTGAAAATAGGTCCAGAGGACATGGCCTCAAGTTGCACCAGGTTCAGGTTCAGGTTCAGGGAGGTTCAGGTTAGATATGAGAAAAAAATTCTGCACAGAAAGAGTGGTGAAGCACTGGAACAGGCTGCCCGGAGAGGTGCTGGAGTCACCATCCCTGGCACTGTGTAGATAAGGCGCTTAAGGACCTGATTTAACAAGCATGGTATTGAGTGGCTTACAGTTGGACTCAATGATCTTGAAGGCCTTTTCCAGCCATATGATTCTATGATTCTATGTATTCTCTCTCCAGCCATTACAACTATTTTAGTACCCAGACAGCATGTCCTACTACCCTGCTCAATATGACCAATAACATTGTGATATTATGGAGAAAAGTTTCTGTATACCATGCAAAATAATAAAATACAATCATTTGTGAAATTAGAACTCCACAGCTATTAGATCCTAGAAATCAATCAATCTAACATTCCTAAAATGTTAATGAAAAAGTACTTTGATAGAAGACTGAAAAATCTGCAAGATGTTCTATTTCTTCCATTAGGCTCAATACAAGTACACCCTAAGGGATGTACAAGCTCTGTTTATTCCCTAGAGGATTTCTGGGGGAACTCTGAAGCTTTGCAAGGGCCATAAATCTCTGTGGGGAATACTTTCCAGGTGTCACAGAAATTATCTGCTTCTTTTGCTSGATCCTCACACTGATTCACATTAGAATTTTTTTCTCCTTCACTCCATTTGACATATATATGTTACCAAAGTAAGTCAAGGATGTGGTAACAGAGAATTATTTAGTCTTAATTCCTTTAAAAGAATAGAGATGTTTATATAGCGTTAGTAGCAAAGCAAAATTTAATTCACTGTAGCTGGCTCCCTGAATGGCCTTGATCAAGTGATTTCACTTACCTCACCTTACTGATTTATGAAGTATTTTAGATGTACTGATAAAAAGTCTGATTACTGTCCATCCTTTGCTTCATCTGTGTGCCACACAAACCTGCAGCAGAATACACTAGCAATACAGTTGTCTAGCATGCCTCTTACATGAGACACTTTCCAAAATATATTGTCTTTCAAAGTGGTCAAATGCAATTAATTTAATTAAATCAGTAAGTAAGTATACTTAAAATCATCTGGCCTTCAGAAGCATGATGAAACATCTGCATTCAAACTGGTGAAAAGCATAAGCCATAAAGCTGTAAATAACTAGGGCTGAATCTCCACCAAATGCCCTTTGCCTTGGACATTCTTCACTGGCGTCTTAGGATAGACAGCAGTCTCTTTTTATGAGTACTAGAGGATCTAGAAGTTATATTACAGTGCTCAAGATCTTGAACCATTGTTTAGTTTTTTCTCTAAGTTTAAAAGATTTTGGCAGACAATAAGAGTTTTTTTAATAAAATTATTCTGGTCATATTTTTAGTTATCAATGAAGAAAAAGGTGCTGAAGAGTAGTGAGTCACAAATGTACTAATAATAATTCCTATTTTTCAAAGATAATTTCAAAGGAAAGTACTGAATGAAGGTAACTATAAAGGTGTTTCATTAGCCCTGTACCTAAGTATGTCAGAACAGCAAAGCACTTTGCACATCTCCTATGCAATGGCATTGCTTCTTTTAGCATGGATCTGGCCATAGGAATCAGGAGAGAACAAAGGCTTTAAAATAGTTTGCATATGAAAAGAAAGACTACCATCTGGTTTACCAATTACCTGGCTGATTACCTGGCTGATTACCAGGTAAGCAGTTGAATTGAAGAAATGTTGCTAGGACATATGAACAAACAAACAAACAAACAAACAAACAAAAAAACCAGAACATCCAAATAATAGTTGAATTTTAAAACACAAAATTGAGAGTTTTTTTTTCCCCAGAGAGAATTCTAGGATGATAAAAATGAAAGTAATTCCTTTAAACCAATAATCAGCCTCTCTGACGTAATCTACTAAATGTTTAATGGCTTAATTTTACATCGTTCTAACTGTAATAGCATGTACCACTTACTTCTACCAAAGCATTTCAAGTTACTTGTCTCAGTCTAATCCCTGAAATCACATAGTACATCCACAATCTATACTGACAAACATAGATATTTATATTTATAGGGCAGATGCCATTTTGATTCCTTTATTATTTATTTAAAATCTATTTCCATTATATGAAGACCCTGTGATTTCTGGAACGCTGTGTTTGTTCATAGCATATTAAATTGATCCCTGGTAGGTCAGATATGCCTGACCCCTAAAGTCTCTCCTCCAAGAAAAGAGGGGAGCATAAAAGGTCCATTCAGCTGATAAACAAATCCTTGCCTCCTGGAAACTTGTGAATACAGCCAAATTCAACAACAGTTTGCTGTACCTGAATTCAAATCTCACCATCAGATTGCTAATAACTAGTTTGCAAAATTAAAAAAATATATTTGTGGAGCATGACTATGATCACTTTGAAGAAAAAAAAAAAAACAGAAAGGCTTTCTTGAGAATGTAGAAGCTACAAA